GGCAACGCCCTTTTAATAGATCATATGCTACCATAAATAAATCATGAAGACAAATATTTCACATCTCATTAAAGACAAAATCTCAAGTCTAATTTTATACCAGGGGGCCGTAATATCCCCAATCCAGCCCTCACGCATTGGCCACAGATGGGGCTTTATTTATACTATAATGGGTGAACTAATGTCCCCATCCATGGGCAGTGGGGGAGCTATATTATAAATATGGGTAAGGACCCAATGTGCGGGCTCTCTTATACCTCCTCTCAGCCCACACTGCTCTTATCCTTGTGCCTCAGCAGACACTGGCTCACCTCTCATGCCACGTCCCGATATTTAGCTGACATCACGTGTGTGCGCGCGCATGGAGATACACGCTAGGGGGCATATGTCTGAAAACATGTCCGTTCGCTTACCTGTTTGAAAATTTCAAATGAAAGTAGCCCAAATTACTTAAGGGCTAAATAAAATGTTTTGCCTTTGCACTAATTACCCTAATTATTTAACTAGCCTATCATCACACACCTTTCCCTGACATCACTTCCTTGACCTGTCTTGGTATTTAGCCTGGTATTTAGCCTGACAGTGCGTTTTGTATTATTGGTATTTCTGGTATCTGACTTTGGATTTTGACTATCCTTTATTCTGGTATCCTTGACCCTTGGCTTTGCATTATCGTGTATCTCCCTGTCTCCAGCTTTGCCCAAGGCCTGTACAAATATTCTCTACCTTTTATTGTATATTTTTATATATGTTAAGTCCGCCCACTCTAAGGCCTGGTAATACATCTTTATTTGTGTATAGGGTTACTTACCCCATTGTTTGCGAGTTAGAGCATCAGTTCTTGACAGGCCTACTAAGTAATTATACATGGAGATTGTCATGCGATTGTTCACCTACTCACTGACCATGGTTGAAGGCAGAGAGAAGCATAAGGATGTCTCCCTGTTTATTTAAATTTAATAGCCTCCACCCCATGGCAGGGACGTTTTAGCCGCGAGGCAAACAAGGCATTTGCCTTGGGCGGCATTTTCCAGGGGGCGGCAAAAAAAGCCGCCCCCAAATGCCCAGGGCAAATGTCTTGTTAGCCTTGCGGCTAACTGACAAGCCAGGGTGGCACTGGCAAGGGAGCACTTTCCCCTGAGCTGTCTGCTCAGCTTCCGCACGCGCCGCAGAGTGATGCCCGGAGCTGAAATATGATGTCAGGGAGCTGAGCAGACAGCTCAGGGGAAAGTGCTCTCTCGCCAGCGCTACCAGCGCCGACCGCCCAGCAGCCCCACTTGACCCCAGGGAGAGGGAGAGGGGGGTTAAAAAAAAAAGTGAGTGTGTGTGTGTGTCTGTGTGTGTCTGTGTGTCTGTTAGTGTGTGTGTGTTTGTCTGTTAGTGTGTGTGTCTGTTTGTGTGTGTCTGTTAGTGAGTGCGTGTGTGTGTGTTCTGTTAGTGTGTGTGTCTGTTAGTGAGTGTGCGTGTGTGTCTGTTAGTGTGTGTGTGTGTGTCTGTTAGTGAGTGAGTGTGTGTGTCTGTTAGTGAGTGTGAGTGTGTTTGCCTGTTAGTGTGTGTCTGTTAGTGTGTTTGTCTGTTAGTGAATGCGTGTTTGTCTGTTAGTGAGTGAGTGTGTGTGTCTGTTAATGTGTGAGTGTGTGTGTCTGTTAGTGAGTGAGTGTGTGTCTGTTAGTGTGTGTCTGTTAGTGAGTGAGTGTGTGTGTCAGTGAGTGTGTGTGTGTGTCTGTCAGTGAGTGTCTGTTAGTGAGTGTGTGTCTGTTAGTGAGTGTGTGTGTCTGTTAGTGAGTGTGTCTGTTAGTGAGTGTGTATGTCTGTTAGCTAGTGTATGCATATCTGTCAGTGTGTGTGTGTGTATTTAGAAGGTGGGGCAGGTGGGAAGGGTTGGGTGGGGCTGGCGCAGGAGGGGGGGAGGCGCCTCAGTTTTGTCCTGCCTAGGGCAGCACAAAACCAGGATACACCACTGCCCCATGGTCATTGGTAGAGCAGGGGGATGTACAGTGATTCCCCTCCAATGGGATAGTGCCTTTCTAACCATGGCTTTCCAGTTGCTAGTTTTAAACATTTTGTAATGTTGCCCAACATGGCTTTTTAATAAATTTTTAAAGACTTTTTTTTATGTGATGACAGCCGTCACATAATGAACACTTGCATTATAGATGGTTTTTAACTATTTGCCCGCTGGCTGCTAAAGCTGCAAGTGGGCAAATAGGACTACAAATAATCAAGTGACCTGATTTTTTCAGAATTCATTAATTTTCACCCTGTTTTTTTCACTAGAATAACCCTTCACATGTTATTTTTTTGTAATTCTTTATTTTTAATGTGCATGCACAGCAGGAACGTGTCGGTGCCGCCTTCAGTGATCCGGCTTTACTGTAGCTGTTGCCTCAGAATTCACCCTTCGACAGTGGCAGAACTACCGCGGTCACAGCTGCGACCGGGCCCGCCACTCCAGGGCGCCGGGCCGCCCCCTGCAACCGCGGAGCTCGCCGCCATGTGTTGTGGCCCTGGACTGCCGGGGCCACACGTTTCCAGGGCGCCCGGTCAGCGCTGTGGCACTTTAACAGCGCGACCAGGCCCCCTATGATGACATCAAAGCTGGTGGAAGTGACTGCCTAGGTCACTCCTCCCAGCAACGACCAGGAGCCGCGTGGGAGGAAGAGGAGGGAGTCAGAGTGGAAACTCTGACTCCCATCAGGCTGAGCCACCACTGGACCCCAGGGAAAGTCACCCTCCTGCACCTAAAAGGTAGGAAACAGGAAGGTGACTAAAATATTTTGTATATGTGTGTGTTTGTTTGTATGTATGTATGTATGTGTGCGTGTTTGTGTATGTATGAATGTTTCTCTGTATGTGTGTTTGTATGTATGTGTGTCTGTCTGTGTGTATGTCTCTCTGTGTTTGTATGTGTCTGTGTGTGTTTGTATGTATGTGTGTGTATACATGTATGTGTGTGAATGTGTATTTGTATGTGTGTGTCTGTTTGTGTCTCTGTATGTATGTGTCTCTGTATCTGTATGTATGTGTGTGTTTGTATGTATGTATGTGTGTCTGTATGTACATATGTGTGTGTCTGTGTGTGTCTATGTGTGTGTCTGCATGTGTATCTGTTTGTCTGCATGTGTGGGGGAGGGTAGATGTATGGGGGGGCCCCATGGCAGTTTTCACTCCTGGGCCCCGTGGTTTCTAGTTACCCCTCTGCCTTTCAACGTTCAATACTGAGCCAAAATTGCAACCACATGTGCTCAAATACCCTATGAAGGAGCTCTTCGTGTGAGCCAAAGTCATGGGAGTTTGGAGAGCTATGGGTTTCTCCCTGGTGGCCACCTTAGTCCACTGGTCGCAGGTAGTCAGCTCCGTGGGAACCGACAGATGCAGCAAAGGTGTGTGGGTCGGCACCAGGTTTTGGACCGGGATAACCCCCATGTGTCCAGATAGCAGGTGCTAGGCATTTTTAAAAAAAAATTCTTTATTTTGGTAGTGCAGAATGCATACATGTGAGCTTGCATCGCCACAACAGCTGGTGCAGGCTTCCATAAGACATATATAAAACAGGTATGTGGCATGGGATCACATTACACATTTTTATGTATTATTATAGAATTGTAAGAAACAAGCTATTCTTAGAGTGGCTATGCCGAGCTAAACACTAGCAGAGTGGTGCCAATATCCGATATGAAGGTACTATTGCTGAGAGACTAAGTGTGATATGCTATAATAGATCTGAAACAGTGTGTACAAGATGTAAATCTCAGCTATGAGTGTAGCCATATGTGTGTTAAGCAGGTTATAATAGGGGACCACCCTCTGAGACATGTCTAATTTCAGTATCGTTACATATAACCCTATCTAGACAACAACCTCTGGTATTATTTAGGAAATCATGTTGTGCCAGGAGGGTTGTCGGGCTTCCATATAGCAGACCAAGATTTGTGACTTCAGTCCGATATCAGGGGGACAGGATCTATCACCTCTGTGCTGCTTGTGTGTGTTGCTTGATCTGATCTAATGTTTGGGGAACTGCTTATTGGGGATAAAACGGGTGCCCGGAACCTACTTGTTCCACAAGACGATTTACAACTCCTAACCAATGGGAGCCTTGGTGGGGTGGGGAGAGAGTAAAAAGTTTGGGAGTCAATTTGAGCTTATGGCATAGGACTGGATACTCTATTTGGCGAGAGGACCTACATTGCGGTCCATATGTGCCTGGTTAGGGAACAGTGTGTCAGAGTTATCGATAAGTTATAGAAAGGAAAAAACATAAATGCAAAACAATTTAAAACAATATAATTTGGTAAATGCTAGATTGTTGGAGAGTATTTCAAGTGGCTGCCCCCAGCCTCTCGCCTCTATGTGGTGTAAACGGGACAGTCCTTGCAGGGTTCCACCTGTGGGAGGTGGTAGGTTCCACAATATTCTGGGGCCGTGGGTATAGCCCGGTGAGTAGAGGAATAAAGCAGCGTCTGACAGGCAGGTAAGTTTCATCGTGACACTGTTGTTGACCACAGTCAGAGACCTTGGTGTGCCCCATCTGTATTTCACTCCAGCAGTGTGTAGCTGGTGAGTTATAGAGCCAAATGAGCTTCTCCACTGCAATGTATTCCTTGTTAAGTCCTGGAAGAATGTGAGTCGGGATGACTCAAAGTCAAACAGAGTTTCTTTTCCGTACTGGTGCCATTATTCAGTTCTTGTCAGAGATCGAGTAGCAGCAGACAATCACATCTTGCGTGGCAGTAGGGGCTTGTTGACCCTAAAGCAGTTGTCAAATGTTAGCCTTTTAGCCTGTGTATGCGGCAGGATCACGGTTAGCAGACGTTGGAGGTAATGGGGTAGTTTGGCTGAGCCGATGTCATCGGGGATGCCTCTTATCTTTACATTAGCTCTCCGGTTGCGGCCTTCTGTAAGATCCAGCCTAGTGAGCACCATAGAGTGGGAGGTTTGAAGCTTGAGTAGAGTCTTTGAGTGCCTGTACCTCTTGCCTTAGATCTATGGCATCCTCCTCAGATGCTTGTGTCCAGGCTGTCACAGCCTGAACTTCTGTCCAGCATAATGTTGCTGATATCCTCCTTGATGGCGAGATTCCGTGCATCTCCATCTGACCCTGCTGTAGAGATTGTTGGGGAGAAACAAGATCGGCTGGTGTTTCCGCTGGTAAGTAAGAGCACGTGGAGCATGCCTATGGATCTGGAGTAGTTGATGCTCTCTGGGCCGTGGTGCTTTGTAACATGGCATCGATATTGCGGGTACCTTTGTGGTTTTTGGGAACACTGGCCCAGTGTGTCTGCAATGCGTGGGTGGCTTATGGCAGGAACCTGTAATGGACTCAGTGCCTCCAGGGTAGGTGCCCAGTCAAGCGTGTAGGCCTTAGCAGGCAGGAGTGCGAGGTAAGCCCCTGAACGTCGACGAGTTCTCCGGCCTGCTGGGTTATACAAGAAAGGCATGTGCTGGTAGCCAATTCCATCAGGCAGAGAAGGTTTGTGGTCTCACACCCCGATGGCTCCCCAAAACCACGATTAGTGACGGATTTATCAGCAGCTTGCGGGAGCTCATGAAAGTGGCGTCCAAGTTGTTCGTCCAGGCATGTTATTTTTAACATCTCACAAATACATATTTGTGGAATACATGGATGTTAACATGAAGTTAAAATTCTGTGAAGTGACAGTTGAAAGTTGTTTGTTACTAGTAGCTGTTGGTGTGCTTAATACCTACTGACAACAACAAAAAAATGCATGGTCAATATTTCTATGGCTCAGAAAAAAAGAAACAAGTGAGTACAGGCATACAATTAATCAAACAACACTAAATGGATCTAAATAAAAATGGATCTAAGAACAATTATCTTTGAGCTAAAAACTGTTCACAATATACAATAGATCTTCTTGAGCAAGGCCCACTTGCTTCTGTTGACATTATTTGATTATCGTTTATTTGCTGTTTTATATCACCATTGTAAAATTGTAAATCAACGTAGAATATGTTGGCGCTATAAAAATAACACTAATAAAATTATTAAATAGTAATAAAAAAAACAATAGATAAATAAAAGAGAATCTATTAACCCATGTTGGGACTAATGAACATAAGGGAACACATACATCTCTGCACGGTGCTAGAATACGTTTTGCTGATATTCGTAACATGATTAAACCATAGAAGTGGGAATTGTAATTTTTCATGATTTTTGCTATAATTTTTAGTTATCCCCCCAACACACTGTGTTTTTTTTTTTAATAATCCCTGGTGGAGAATTCATTATTTTCCACCAAGGATTATTAAAAAACACGCACATTTCCCTTGATACAGTCCACACACACACACACTGCCGAGTCCATACACACACACACACACACACACACACACACAGAGACTGCTGAGTCCATACACACATACACACACACACACACTGCTGAGTCCAAACACACACACACACACAGGCTGCTGAGTCCATACACACACACACAGGCTTCCGAGTCCATACACAGACACAGACTACTGAGTCCATAGACAGACACAGACTGCTGAGTCCATAGACAGACACACACAGACTGGTGAGTCCATACACAGACACAGACAGACTGTTGAGTCCATACACACACACACAGACTGCTGAGACATACACACACACACACAGACTGCTGAATCCATACACACACACACACACACACACACAGACTGCTGAGTCCATACACAGAGACTGCTGAGTCCATACACACACACACACCGCTGAGTCCAAACACACACACACACACACACACACACACACACACACAGGCTGCTGAGTCCAGTCACACACACAGGCTTCTGAATCCATAGACAGACACAGACTGCTGAGTCCATAGACAGACACAGACTGCTGAGTCCATAGACAGACACACACAGACTGATGAGTCCATACACACACACAAAGACTGGTGAGTCCATACACAGACACACAGACAGACTGCTGAGTCCATACACACACACACACACACACACACAGACTGCTGAGTCCATACACACACACACACACAGGACTGCTGAATCCACACACACACACACACACAGACTGCTGAGTCCATACACACACACAGACACCATACACACACACAGACTGCTGAGTCCATACACACACACACAGACTGCTGAGTCCATACACACACACACAGACTGCTGAGTCCATACACACACACACACACAGACTGCTGAGTCCATATACAAACACACAGACTGCTGAGTCCATACACACACATACAGATTGCTGAGTCCATACACAGACACACAGACAGACTGCTGAATCCATACACACACACACAGACTGCTTAGTCCATACACACAGACTGCTGAGTCCTTACACACACACTGCTGAGTCCATGCACACATACAGACTGCTGAGTCCCTACACACACAGACAGAAACACAGATTGCTGAGTCCAAACACACACACAGACTGCTGAGTCCAAACACACACACATAGACTGCTGAGTCCAAACACACACACAGACTGCTGAGTCCAAACACACACACACTGCTGAGTCCATACACACATACAGACTGCTGAGTCCATACACTCACACACTGTGTGTGTGTGTGTGTGAGGGTGTTCTAATCTGCCGCCACATTCTTTTTTCTAATTTTCTTTGTCTATTAACTCACTTAGAGTTATTTTATATATTTGTGTGTGAGTGTGCTGTGTGTGCGCGAGGGTGCTGTGTGTGTAATGGTGCTGTGTGTGTGCTGTGTGTTTGTGAGGGTGCTGTGTGAGAGTGCTGTGTGTGTTTGATGGTGCTTGTGTGTCTGAGGGTGCTATGTGTGTGTGAAGGTGCTGTTAGTGTGAGTGTGCTGTGTGTGTGTGTGAGGGTGCTGTTAGTGTGAGTGTTTGTGTCAGTGTGAGGGTGATGTGTGTGAATATGTTTGGGATTGTGTGTGTGTGGGTAGATTTAAACATATTAAATATATATGTAATAAAGAAAAAGTTATATCCCCCCTCCCTTCTTATTGTTAGCCTGGGAGGGGGGGGAGGGATGCCGTGCAGCCATGGAGGGGGGGCCGTGCTGCCATGCCTGATGGTCCTAGTGGTGAGTGAACTCTAGCTCTCGTGAGATCTGAGTGTTGCCGTGGTAACTGCGGCAATGCTCCAACCTCATGAGAGGAACCCGGCAGAGCTGCAGGTAAAAGCTTCCCTGGGTCCTCTCTCCCTCCCTCCCAAGCTGGCAGCCACTTGTAACTGCCTGTGGGCCGGTGAGGGAGATCTTTGATCTCCCCACCTGCCCATGAAGGCACACAGCAGGGCCGTCACTCGGATAGTGCCGGCTCTGCATGGGCCGACAGGGGAGATCCTGTGATCTCCCTTGCCGGCCTCGGCCCAATTTTCTCTACAAACAAAAAGGCAGACCATTGTAAATTAATTTACTAATTCTTTAATACACATTTAAAAGAAAACATAATAACACTTGAAAAAATGGTTAACATAACTTATAGGTTATTTTCAATGTTTTAGTCAGTTGTGCTATTTCCACAGAAGTGGCGGTTCCTCTTTATATAAGTGCAATAGAAAATTCTAACTATAGCACTCAAAACACTCAAATGGAGAATGAACTTTAAGATAGGATTGTGAGTCTTCAAAGCCTCAAAACGACTCCCGGTACCTAGAAGGTACACAAAGTCAGTGTTCTGTGCACTTAGTTTTGCGGCTTTTACAAGTTGGAACCTAAAACCTGATTGGTCAATGTGACCACGTAACTGGATATGTAAAAAAAAAAAAAAAGATTCAAGACCTGAAAAACGACTCACAGTACTCGTTACATTTTCAGTATCCAGAAGGTACACAAAGTCAGGGTTCCCACTTAGCCTTGCGGTGTTTGCAAGTTGGAACCTTCCATCTGTTTGGTCAATGTGACTACATAACTGTTTAGGTAAAAAAAAAGGTTCAAAACACAAACGCTCTCCCAACTATCGACTTAGTTTACACCTGCAAGTCAGGAATTTACAGTTTGTATCATCCTTATTTTAATATTTCCTATCTCCTGGATTCTGCAAGCACATATGCAAAACAATTTGAGCCCTGAATAGAGAAACAAATGTATATAACCACCATGAAATCTGCTATACTATATGCATGCATATTAAATAATCTTCCCGTCAGGAATTCCCTTATCTGAGTTCAAATCTTGCGTTATATCTACACTCTAACATGTTCACCCAGCAGATATTTTCTCATTACATTTAAAAATGTGCAGTTTCCACTTGACATATTGTGCCTTAACTCTAAGCATGTACTCACTGTTTTTCTTTTTATGTTTTTCATTTTTTTTTTTATCAATCCACAACATATGTCACTGTCACTTCGTGTATGTTCCTCTGCACTTCAAAAATAAAGAAGAATAATGAAAAAAAATTATATATATATATATATATAAAAAAACTATACATCTAAACTAAAAACGCAATATTATTATTATTATTATTGCCATTTATATAGTGCCAACAGATTCCGTAGCACTTTACAATATTATGAGAGGAGGGGATGTAACAATAAATAGGACAATTACAAGAAAACTTACAGGAACAGTAGGTTGAAGAGGACCCTGCTCAAACGAGCTTACAGTCTATAGGAGGT